GGCGAGGCGGCTGTGTCGGATTGTGCAGTCGAGCGCAGTTGCTCTCCACCGACTGCGCTGATCAAAAGCATGATGGGAAACGACTGACTGACGACACAGCTTAATGCTCATTGGTTCAGACAACCGTGATGCTGTGTTCTCTTCTACAATATGTTATTTTCTATCTGATTTCATGTGATTATGTATTTAAATTATGCATGAATGTTCCCAAACACTATGACAGTGCGATCTCTGTGTGAGATAATGTGATTGTCATGTTTCTATAAAAATATAAAATACATGTTTGTATTAAAGTAAAAATGGATGATAAATACGCCTTTCGTATGGAATTAAATAGCAAGCACTTTGAGTGTCTTGTTCATCATATTTATTTTTATATAAAGGCAACACAACTGAAGTCATATCATGTTAATCAGCAGCACAGCATGTGAGTGTGAATTACGCGATATCTGCCTTTGATCTCGTAGGTAACAGGTAACGTAGGTAACAGAAACAGTAAAATATATTAATAAAAACAGTTTTATTGAGAATCTGGCTGCATTAAAATGCAGTACGTGAGCACAGGGAGGCAAGAAAATACGACGCACTGACGTCATGAATATGCTAATTAGCGTATGACGTCATCTAGCGACATTTAGCGACTTTTCAGGCAGGGTTTAGCTACTTTCCATTAGGGATGGGCGATACCACTTATTTTGTTTTCGATACGATACCGATATTTTTCAAGGCTGTATCGTCGATATCGATACCGATTCGATACTTCTGAACTAAACTTTTAAATTATGAAATTTATTAAATTACTAAGAGTAAAATGGGTAATGATAACCACTTAACTTTGTTTAAAACACATTTTAACATTCAATACGCCTTAATTGTAATTTATTAGGTTATATTTTTGTTTACACATGGTTCAAATGTGTTTTTTGTTTACACATGATTCAAATCTATAAATACTACAGTTGAACTACGGTCACTTTAGTAAAACCATGGTTAATTTTCATAAGGGACTGCAGTGACAGGCTGTTACATGCATAAAATGCAACCTTTTTATTCTGACAGTGTATGATTTCAATTAACATTACAGAATAGAACATGATCAATATTATCTTTCAACGTTCAATTTAAATAATTTTAATTGCACAAACTATGTAGGCTACAATTTCAATTTGTTTATTGTGAAATAACTCAAACATTTATATTTTTATTTCTGTCCTCTGATAAGCATTGTTCAGGGCTGCCATTCCCAAATGCTTTAATGCTTTCTTATGATACTTTTGGGAAACGCAGCCCTGTTTGAATGCACTGTCAGCAGTGAGTGAATGCTCTCTGTGATTGATTGGTTCTGTCTTGCAACATTTGCGTGTGTTCAGATGAGCAGGAAAATAGTTCAATCCTACACAATTACTCGCTAACAAAGGTTATTCGTCCAATTCAATGCATATTGTACGCATTATTATTATTATTATTTTTTTTTTAAATAAACAAAACCACTGGTAAATAAAGCGCACCTTAGTATCGATATTTTTTGTTTGAGTATCGATACTTTCGATGCTTGCGTCAGTATCGATATATATTGCTTAAGCTTATATTATATAAGCTTAAGTTGCATACGTTTTTCTTTAGTTTTAATTTGCCCAACTATTGATCTGACCCAGTAGACGCCATAATCCCACTCTGTCTCTCTCCCGCTTTCTGTTTTTTTTTTTTTAATGGTGGGGGTTTACGCAGTTGGCTAGAGCGGTGCTGATTGGGGAGAACGGAGGTGCGCTCACTCTTGCCCAGGGCAAGTAAGATTGCAACTCAAGGCTGGCAGTCATGCATATGCTCTGGAACAGAGTAATATCGCGTCCATATCGCAGGCTTTGCGATTAGGAAATCGCAACGTCTCAAATCGCGATTTCGATTCGATTTCGATTAATCGCGCAGCCCTACTCTGAAGTATGTGTTTTTTTAAAACATCATGGAATATTCTAGGACAGGAGATAAAATCTACAATACCTCAATGATTAGATCACCAAACAATGAAAACTGTGCCATTATTTACTCATCCTCATGTAATTCAGTAACTGTAACACCTTTCAAGAATATACTGGCCACTTTTTTAAACATTATGAAAGCAAATAAAGACTGGGACTCTTACACTTCTGGAAGTGATGAATAGATCAAGATTTAAGTCATTTTGGAGATCGACAGCCCTTGTCATTTATTCATTTACATTATAATGAAAGAGTTGATGAAGGAAAGGAAGTGAGCATAATTTCTGGTTAACTATCACAATAATCTTTACAAAAAATAAATAAAATAAAATTTGGCCAGAATGTTTATACTGACACCTTACATGATTGGCACTCTTCCCATATCATTTCCTGTTAGAAAAGAGATCACGTTCAGTAACTTTAATGTGCACGTCTAAGATGCATACCTCCTCCAAGCGACGCCTCTGTTCTTTCTGCTCCTCTATCCGCTTCTGTCGGTCATGCAGCAGCTGGCGTTTGTGCTCCTCAGGGTCTCTGCGCTGAGCAGCGAGCTGCGCCTGCTGTCTCTTTAAGGCCTCTGAGCGCTCCTTATTCTCCTGCTGCAGCCGCAGGAAATCCCTCCGCAACGTCGACTCACCAGGAACATTCAAAATGGAGCTTCAGACAGACATAAACATAATTCAAGAAGAGTTAGCAGATATAAACAGAGTTTAGAGTAGAGGTTGGGCAGTGAAGACAAAGTTCCGTGGTTTTCAAGAAGGACTGTGCAGTACGTTCATTTCTTTCTCAGGTACATCAGTGTCATGTACTCATGTGCATTAAAGAATTGATCCATGTTGAATAATAAGGAGGAAACATCTAGTCAATTCAATTGACAGTACATTAAAAAACATACATACAGACAGTATGTATGTTTTTCTCTAAGTCTAACAGTATTATTAAAGAGCCGGATGTTTACGTGTCAGGGGTGAGGCTGCAGGTAATGCCTCAATATAAATATCTGGGAATACTGATTGATTCTAAACTTACATTTAAAGCTCAAGTTAAAAATGTTTGTAAGCAGGTTAAGTTTAATCTCTATATTTTTAAGTTTATTAGATTATATGTCATTAGAGGCAGCTAAGATGTATATGTATTCTATGGTTATTTCTCACATGACTTACTGTTTAACTCTCACATGACTTACGAGTTCAGTGACTCTAAAACCATTAGAGTCCTTATACAAACGTACACTTTAAGTCTTCGAAAAGAAATCGGTACATTATCATCATTGTCTAATACTGAAAAAATATAATTTGTTAAGTTGGGAAAACATGATTAAGTATGCAAATGTATGCTTGATGTATAAAATTATTTATGGTTTATCTTCTCCCCCTCTTAGTCAGTTAGTTAGTATTAGAACAACTGATTATCGTTCTACAAGAGGTGCATTAAGAGGAGACTGTATCATACCGCTTAGATGAAGTAATTTTAGTCAGTCTGCTTTTTCTGTCAAAGCTGCATGAGAATGGAATACTATTCCAACAACTATCAGAGATCTAGACACACATGCTTTATTTAGGGTTCAGTTGAAAAATTGGTTAATTAGTACTCAGATTTAGTATTAGAACAACTGATTATCGTTCTACAAGAGGTGCATTAAGAGGAGACTGTATCATACCGCTTAGACAAAGTAATTTTAGTCAGTCTGCTTTTTCTGTCAAAGCTGCATGAGAATGGAATACTATTCCGACAACTATCAGAGATCTAGACACACATGCTTTATTTAGGGTTCAGTTGAAGAATTGGTTAATTAGTACTCAGATTTGTCAACACTAGAATTTTATATTTGCTAGCTATCGTATTATTGATTGTATCTTGTTTGCATTGCCTTTATTTGATCCCATTGTTTTTTAATAGAATACTGTATGATTTTAACTATGTAATTATAAAATTTTTTAGTATGTATTTTTAATGACATTTTATTTTAGGGTGACTTGTAACATCTTGTCCAGGGACTACGGATGTAAAATAGCCTTTGGCTAATTCTGGTACATTTACAGGAATGTTTTATTAATGTACAATGTCCCTGTCAACTAAATAAAGTAAAAAATAAAATAAAAATTCAATTCAAGTTTATTTGTATAGCGCTTTTCACGATACAAATTGTTGCAAAGCAGCTTTACAGAAAATTAAGTTTCTACAATATATTTAGTAGTAGCTTGTCAGTGGTGACTATGTCAAATTGATGTACATATGGCAGAAATGTATGGTAGAATTCAGTTAATGACGTAATCAAACAAACGATGAACACTAACAGCAATGATCTATGCAGATAAAACAGTTCCCTAAACAATTTCATTAAGGGTGAAAGAGTAACTTCTACCCACAATTACAAAAATAACAAATCACTTCCAAATAGCAGATTAATAGTCATGTTTTGACAAACAGGAAAATCCCGCCTCAAACAAACAAAAGCTTACCTATTCTTGACTCATTCAGACATGTACAGACAAGTCCAACTCAAGTCTCAAATCTTTTCTCATACGTTTTTTTTAATCAAAAGATAATTTCATTGAAGCAAAGTCTCTATTAAGTTATGTACTAGTTCATTTAAAGTCTCAAATCAGTCATCTACTAGTTTGTCAAATCTCATGTCAGTTATCTACTAGTTTGTAGTAGTCAGTTATCATTTATCAAAGTTATCAACTACTTTAAGTCACTGGCAAATTATCTACTAGTTTAATTCTCAAGACAGTTATCAACAAGTTTAAGTCATCTTAAGTCAGTTATCTATTAGTTTAAGTGAAGTTTCAAGCTAATTTAGTTACCAATTTGAATCTAATCTCAAGTGAAATTACCAATTTTGATGAAGTCTCAGGTCAGTTATTTAGTAGTTCAAGTCGAGTTTTAAGTCAGTTATCTCCTAGTATAATCAAGTCTAATAGCTTATCTAACAGGTTAATTTTCGAACAGTCCAGTCTCAGGTCAGTTATTCAGTAGTTTAAGTCAAGTTGCAAGTCAGTTATCTCCTAGTATAATCAAGTCTAATAGTTTATCTAACAGGTTAATTTTCTACTAAGTTTTCTAACAAGTCGAGTTTCAGGTGAATTATCAAGTAGTTTAAGTCAAGTTGACCCTAAAGTTAAACTACTGTAGAGTTTCCATCTCTAAACTGGGATAGGAGAACATCATAAAATTTACAGACATCAAGTTAGTGAGTGAATACTAAATGTCAATAACATTGCAATTAAAATTATCTGGGGGAGTTTCTGCAGCGTTGTGTAGTGCTATGTATGGTTGTGTAAACACAGATGCTGCCGTGTTTACCTGGATTCTCTCTCATCTCCTCTTTTCTCATCCTCTTCATCACTACCGCTGTACTCGTACTCGGTCTCCTCTGAGAGGAATCAAGATAAAATGAGAAAGAGAGAGGCAGAGAGAGGGAGAGGAGGACAGGAAAATAACGAGAAAGGCTTTAGGCATTAATATAATATGGCTAAACACAGTTTATGCAGACTGCAGCACTTTTAGAGTCTAAATCATCTGCACTCTTCCTTAACTGATACTTTATATGCTCTAATAACACTGCTGAAGGCTGCTGGCTGGATGCTTCCATTTTTAACTGTTCCTTGTTCTTCATATCCAAAAAGAAACATAATTCAAGCACAACTGTGCTATTTGATTACACTACTGACCACAGAGCTCACGACTTACTCTAAGCTACGCGAGTTATGTGCAAGCACCACTTTTGCAAGCCAAGTCAAAGATGACCTCTGATTGGATGGGAGTTTTAGTGACCTCACTGCACAAAGGCAAGTAAACAAACTTTATTAAACATTCTGTTCCACCACAGATCCCCGGCGTGCAAATGGATGGATACATAATCATCTATAGTCGCAGAGGAGCACCTGCATCTATCCTGACTCTTAAAACAAAACTAATTCAAAAACTGGATTAATTATTAAACACTTGTATCAGAAAATGTGGAACAGAAAGATTCTGTCTTGGGTTTCTGTGATTGACAAAGCTCTACTGTTCTTGTCTATAATAATTTGTCAAGACATGCAACAACACACATAAACATACCCTTTTCGCCTCGTTTCTTGCGTGTGCGGTCGATGTGATCTTTGAGCTGGATGCGGACTTGTCTTTCAGTGGGCTGGTCTCTGATGAACGAGTGCTTCAGTAGCTGCTCTGTGGATGGACGACTCGGATATGACTTCACAAGACAGCCCTCGATGAAGTCAATGAACTTCTTCGACCTGAAAGAGACAGTAAAACATGAAAGAAATTAATGTATTAGCAGGAAAATAAATTCAAGACAAAACCCGATTATGGAATGCTGTTGTAAAGGCCAATAGGGAATGCCCTACAGTGCGAAATCTTTTCAGGCCAGTTGGTGGTACAGCTACTTGATCTATCGGGTAAGTGCTGCATTAACACTACATCACTTATTGACAAAGTCAATTTCTTTTTATGCCATGAAAACACAGGGTTTTCTGTTATATATAAAATACTTGTTGCTGTGAATTCTACTGATTTCTAGGTCACTAATCAAAAAGGTAAAGTCAGCTGGCTAACAGATGAAATGCTGTTGAAAATGGGCAAATACGTTGTGACATTCTTGGAAGCTGCAGTTAGAAGGAGCTGAAAATGACTGATAAATAAGCAATACTTTACAATGTACGCACTGTATAACAACGTTATATTATTTATACTGTAAAATGTAAAACATTTTGTAAATAAAGTAACTTGTTTGTTTTGCTAAAAACACATTTAATGAAAAAATAAATACACCATGTGTGTTTGGGGATTTTTTTGATGCTTTTGAAAGAAGTCTCTTATGCTCTTAAACAGTAATAATGTGAAATAGTATTACAATTTAAAATAATGGTTTTATATTTGAATATATGTGATGGCAAAGCTGAATTTTCATCAGCCATTACTCCAGTCTTCAGTGTCACATATGGTGGTTTTGTGTTTGAGACATCTCTTTATATTATCAATGATAAAAACAGTTGTTGGTTAACATTTTTGAAAACTGTTCAAAAGAACAACATTTATTTGAAATAGAAATCTTTTGTAACATTATAATTGTTACTGTCACTTTCAATTTAATGCACTCCTTGCTGAATAAAAGCATTAATTTCTTTAAAAAAAAAAATCTGTAGAATAGATTTCTTCCTGACATAGAAAGAAACATTTTAAAACAGGAAAACTCCTCCTTGATTATATAACTTTCAATATCAAATTTTAAAGAAAAAAAAATAATCTAACTCAAACAAAAACGAACAGAAAACACAGAAAGAAATGGCTGTTTTAAACAGTCAGGAGTGTTACACATCATTGCTAACAAGACAAAATGCAGTAAACATGAAACATGGCTACCTTTAAATCCCAGCCCAACATATGCTCAATCTCTACTTCTTATAGCCAGCTGTTCAAGGGCAGGGCTCTGACCAGAAGGACTAAAATAACTCCAACCCGAAAACTAAATCACAGCATGCCAATATATGACAACTACAACCAGCCAACAGAAAAAAAGAAGAAAAAAAAAACATGAAATGAAGGAAGAAATAGAAAGCATTTTTTGTCATACAAAGCACTCTATATGTGTGGAGATGTAGGTGGGTGTAAGAGCAAACACTGCAACTCCTGTCTGAGAAACATTATTAAACAAGGAAACCACATATGAGAAGAGAAGCTATATGGATTGCAGCGATCATAAGTATGCAGTGCGTGTATATATAGACAAGGGAAAAAAGGGAGGGAAGGAAGAAGGAAAATATAGCTTGATCTTAAAATAACAGCTGAGACAGTGTGTCCTCACCATTTCTTGGACTTCAGTTTAGGAGGAGGGTTCCGTGGGATAAGGAACAAAGCTCGCATGGGATGCATGTCACACAACGCTGAAGGAAAGAGCAGAGCAATCAAACATGCTGATAAAAGACTCTTTCACCCATGTGTCCAATTATCAGACTAACTGACTCAAGAGGTGACAACAATTCATGAACGCAAGTAGAACAGTGACTGGGTCGCTGCTACACGCTGTCCGTGTGAGCGGGTGATTGTGCATGTGTGAGAGAGAACATATGACTAAGTGTTGTGCTGCATAAGTTATGACAATGGAGCACAGATCAACCTCCACCTCTGATCTCCTTTTTCAAGAGTGCAAAATATCACAAAATAAATGTTTAAATTGATGATTTACATTTGGGTAATCTACTAGGTACTGATTTTTAATTTTTTTTTTACTTTTTAATATATATATTTTTTATTATTACGCCTTTTGTTTAACTGGCATAAAAGGAATGGGGAAGAGGGAGGTTTAGTATTATTGTTCGTTTGTTTGCTTGCTTTGTAAAACATGAAATGCTTAAAGTAATTTATTAAATTTTTCTTGCATACCATTGGAATCACTTTCATAATTTTTTTTTTCAGCCAGTGAGTGAGAAAAACACTGACAGCCAATCAAGAATTCATTCGACTTTAAAGAGCTCGAGCATTTAAAATGGCAGACGACAACTGTGCACTTATAATAAACAGAAATATTTCCTCATAAGCAGGGGTGCACATAAGTTTTTCAGCCTGGTTCTCATAAGAGAACCTGGAGATTTGGTTTGGTCCTCACACTGCACATAGTGTGACCCATTAAATATAACTATAAAAATAAATTAATAATAGTGATAATATTATTGCACTTTATTTAGTTTTTTTTTTATTTTTTATTAAATAAACAAAATAATAAAGTGTGATAATACTATTATATTGTAAAATAAAAAGGAGTATTAAATACAAATACAATTATTTTATATTAAACTTAAAAATAAAATGCTAATATTTCCTTTTTTTTTTTAATATCAATTTTC